TTTAGAAATTTTAAATCTGTAATTTAAATTCAAGAGCAATTGTTTGTGAAACACTTTTAGTCCCATTTATACATCTTATCAAATATATTTTGAGTTTAAATTTTAAATCTCAGAGTATTTTACCTTAATAAAAAAAATAATAATAGGCTTACATTGGAGTTATTTTAGATCCTACAATTGATTTAAATAATAAATTATTGTTTGCTAGTGGATTTATAGAATGGATTGTAGCATGCCTTCTATGAGAAATTTCAATTTTTTTAATCTTTAATATTTGCAGAAAATAAAATAATTATATATATAAAGATCTTTTCTTCTCTACTCCTTCAATTTTCAATAAATACATACTTAAATTTAATATATATATTTTTTAGATTCATTTAAACCTGCATCCATCCCTTGTAGGAGTTTTATGTTATTTTTTGAAATCTGAATTTGTATAAAAACATTTTTTACCATTTTGGAATTTATGATATATTTTGATCTTATAATACGCCCAAAATTTTATTTTATTTTTTTATCGCCGATGTGGCGTTGAGTTTGCTGCCACACAATTGAGTCGACCTCGTCTATCACGTCAACATATTTTAATATAATAAATGATTCTAATTCATAATTCAATGAAGTGATCTGCATCCGGTCTTTCAAGCCTGACCTGGCTCGAAATTCGTTTAAGAAATGTCTATCCAGACCGATCCCAAATTTTTCCAATCCATTCCAAAAAGCCGCATCCAAAATAAAAAAAATTTTATTCGCTCAGCTCAGCCCGAATTTATTTAAATTAGAAATAAATATATTTTTCAATATAGTTTTACATTTTTACATTTATTTTACAAATATTATGCCTTACCTACTCCGAATGGAATTTTAAAATAATTATGCCTTACCTATTCCGAATGGAATTTTTCGCCCCTATTTTTTCAGTTTACTAATTTAATATATTAATTTATTGCCTTATAATTTATTTGGTCACACTCAGGTTCCATCAATGTCAAAAAAGTTTTTTATATTCTCAATTTCCAATTCAGATAATAAGTAAAGTAAAAAATATGAACAATTTGGAAATCAAGTTTAGTTAAATTATAATTATAGTGGATATAAATATTGTTATTATTTAGATTTAGTGGCATAAAAATGGTTCTTTTTCGCTAGATGCACATTCATTGTTTTCAATATATACGGAATTTTCCTAGATAAATTAGAAAGTTCCGATGACATTTTTATCCACAAAGTTATTGTCTGTTCTGGTAGAGTTGAGCTAAAATATAGCATTCTTACTCTAGATTATTTGTGTTATTACTATCTTTATTTGATAAAGGATATTACGATCTATTTATTTTAATACATAAATTTGATGTTTTTATTTTATTATCAACTTCGATACCTTTTTTTTGCATCTTAATCATGGTAGATAGGTTTTTAAATTAAATTAAAATCGCAAAAGTTGCTTGCATTTTTTTTCCCTTTAGGTCAAATAATATCCTAAATATCAAATTAATACATCTATAAATTTGTTTTTATTTTCACTAAGAATTAATTAACTTATTCATCATGGAAGGAAATATATTAAATTATACAAACTTTTTTTGAATATAATTATCGCAATCCGCGTGGGCTCCAAGTTTCAATTTTAAGTTAATTACCGCGGGGGATTTTTAACTAAAGGAAATGTATTTCAATACGTATAGAGTACCAACAACGGTGAATTTTAAACAATTTTGACGCTAACTTTTGAAATACACTTAACTTAACCCTTAGACATCTTTTGAGCTAATTTAACATCATAAACTTGCATGGTATTTTATAACCATTAAGAACACTTAATGATTTAATTCGACATTAATCTCTTATATAATATAAGGCGCTTGTCATATTTTGTGACACTTTTTTTGTCATATTTTGTGATAAAGTGTAACAATATCTGAATCACAACTAAATACGATAACTGAAAATTTTCCACAACAATTTAGTGTTTTTACATATCAATGCAAATAAGGCGATTCCTTAATTGTTTTTTTTTTAATTTTTATACATATGAGCTGATTAATGATCGTTAGACCTATGCGGAAAACGCCGCCGCTTTTAAAAATCACGTCGCCAAAGTTTTTTAAAAAGTAATTTCCATATTTTATGCATTTTTATTCTAATAATTGGTCAACATTACTGTTGTAAATTTTTTACACCAAATAGAATATTGATGAATTCTTATTTTATACCTTTTTTTAACATTATAGTTATTTTGACATATAAATCTAAAATTCCAAAAGTTACCATAATTTTAAATATTTTACAAATGGAGACCCAATGTTAGTAAAAGTGCTTAATTAGGTGAATATGAACACAACTTATATGGGTCATGGTTAACATAATCTGGTTAGTGGATGGTATAAATACCTTTTTTGATTTTATCAAGAGAAATAATTATTGCTTATAAAACTGCAGAGATTGAATTTGAGTTCAAGTTAGATCAAAGTAATTGCCTAAGTGCAATAGATCTAACATCAGATATGCTAGATATTGATAGCTCTGATTAATATACCCTGCTGACACCTGTTTTCAAATTGGCTATTCCATTGATGATATGCCACAATATTAATGATACATGAAATCTGGAGCAAATAAAAATTTAATTTATAACCTTAGGAAAAGAATTAAAATACCTATCTCAATCTCAAATTATGAAACAGATCCTGTAGAAGTAGTATTAGCTTTTCTTTCAAATTTAAAGAGAGAGATGAATTTCTATAAGCACAAAGAGGCCTACCTTAAACTTGCCATTACTTTTTAGAAGTGAAATTGAAACAAATTTAATAGTAAATGATAAAGATAGTTCAGAAATCATTTCCTTAAAAGAAACTTGTGCTAAAATTTCCGGTTTAAGATCTGCAAGTAACAATACATAAGTATATTAATTTATTTTTTATTTCAATAATCTAGGTGTTAGCTAAAATTGTGTCAACGTATATAAAAACTCAGTATGTTATAAAGCATTTTAAACGAATAGAGTATAATGATATTAAGGTAGTAAATATAGCGATTGAGAATTAAGAGGAAATTTTAAATTCAAATTATTAAAGTTAGAAACCAAACATTAGAACAAGAATGCTATATTCTTCTAAAACGTCATTCACAAGATATGAATGTTCTAACTGGAGGGGAAGAGGATCGAACTTCACAATCTTTCTACTAGCTAAAAAGAATTTTGTGTTCCGGCAACTAACACACTTAGTGAAAAATCTACCTGTGTGTTGACGTTGAATTCAAGGAAATCATCAATATGTCCGAAAAATTAAAATTATTTTTATATATAATTATAAAATTACAAAACTATTTTGAATTTATGAGTTTTCTCTTCAATAAAAATTAAAAAATATGCCGTGATATCTGTCTATATTATAGTTTTAATTTTATTTGTCTTAAAAAAAATAAGCAATTAAAATAATGTTATTAAAGATCTATGCCCGCCGCCGATAGTTTTGTCGTTGCCAGGTATAATAATCATTGTATTTTTATACAACCTTTGCTTAAAATTGATTTTTTAATAAAATAAATGTATTAAAAAACCATGTTTATTTTAAAAATTGCTATAGCAACTTATTATACAATAGAAAAATTCTAATTTAAACTTTGTATCATTTTTATTAGCACCCTATAATTAAAAAAAACGTAACTTTAAACACCCTTAAATATATTTATTTTTAAAGCCAATGGCGCCTTGGATATCAATTGTCATGTGCTTTTCTGATTATGTTGTTTTGCAAGTCAGTATAACTTTAAGATGCCACAACGTTAAAATCAAGTTATTGGTTTAAAGCTTTAAGATATAAATGCAACTCATGATAAATTTAAAATAGTATTGGGAGATATTTTTAATAAATTAACCTACGAAAATAGATCACCGAAGGTTATTGTTAGATATCAAGGAAAGTAAGAATATAAAAACTCTTATTTCTTTGCAGGGATATTATTTTTCTTTTAACAGGAGTGGATTCCTGTCAATCTAAATCTGACTCCGAAAGGGTATTGGTTGGGACATTTAGGATTAGAATGAACACATTAAGATGATATAAGAGTTGATAGACAAAAATTGTATTAACATTTAAGATGATGAAAAAGAATAATATATAGATTACGGAAGATAATATATTAAATTGTATATATGTAAAATTTGTGGTTATCTAGAGAAGTTAATTTAAACTTTTCTGAAAGCCTAAAATTGATATTTACAATTAGGGATTACAATAGAAAAGCCAGGTTTAACTAAAATTAGATTAATTAGGTAGCTTATTGAGTGCACTACTTTAATAATTTTCTTCTTTAGGTATACTATCATAGATAAAAAGACCAATATTTATCTAAAATTGACCTCTAAGCTGAGTTAAAAATCCATGTATGGGTTAAACATTAAAAAAACTCAATAAATATTTATGTCTATTCTTACTAATATATTAAATTTCGTTACCCAAAGAAATAAGAAAAGAAGTTTTATGATGAAAATTAAAATATTAGGCCTTTGAACCCTAATATTAAACTTATAATTAAATGTTTTCTTTCTTCTTTCTGATTTGTTTAGAAATTTGAGGTCAATTTTTTCACTCTTATAAATTCATGATTTAATACAATTTTTTGTGTAAGGGTTAATGATTTTGGATTCGGTCAGCTGTATTGGTTAAATTTGAGAGTATCCGCCAATGTAGGTCAGCATTGTACCAATAAGTGATAGAAAAGTATCGGTGTATCACTTATTTTTTAATGAGAGTTGGTGGATCAATGGGTGAGAGAGATGATATCAAGGGAGAGAAGGGTTGGTGATGCGAATTTAGGTGGAACCCCTCTTCTAATACCAACCAACACGAGTAGTTACCTGCTATAGATAGAGGTTAGAAAAGTTATATGCTATAGATAGAGGTTAGAAAGATATGGGAGTAGAGTCAATATATTTTAAAAAGGATTTAATAAACACAGTAAACATAATCTATATATATTTATTAATAACCTTATAAATAAATGTATGTGGTTTGTGGTACAAAAATTAGATCATTTAATTACAACATAAATCATGTAATAAAATAATTCTACATTATATAAAATTCTTATAAAAACAAACGACACATCCTTTTATTCCCTTAAATAAGCAGAGTCGAGGGCAAATTAGTCATAGGCATTGGATTATTATGCCTTTTTCCAGGCCATGCTTCCTTCGCATATTTTTTCTTTTTATGATGATGTGCTATTGCATCTTCTTGTCCCTGTGTTTCATCCAGATTTGTTGGTATGATCTCTTTATCTTCTGGTTTATCACCAGCCGATTTGCGTTTAATGGATGGGTGGTTCAGTGAGTTTTTCGCGTGGTAGTTAAGGTGCATCATATTATCAAGAGATGTGGCGGAGAAATTTACATCCACATTGGGAGCGGGATTGGGTACATTAAGCTGCATTTTAGCGTTAGCCTTTCGAGGTTGAAAAGGAGATATATTTACATTCGCCGTAGGCCTAAAATCATTATCTTCTGGCTGAATCAAAGGGTGGTCACTGTCAGAATAAAGGTTGGAGGGAAGTGTTGGGTTACCAAATTTAACGTAGTGAGGGCCGGTGCCATTGTTAGCCTTACCTATGAGAGCTTTAGGGTGAAGAGTTTTAGAGTTTTGAAGTGCTAATGGATTTCTGGAATCAGACGAGGCCTAATAAGTGGTTAAAAAATTAAAATGAAACTATTGTATTGATTATAAATGATTAACAAAAAAAAATTCTTATTTTTTTGATTGTTAGTAATTTTATTTTCAAATAAATAAAAATAAATGAGTAGATGAGAGAATTTTTGCAAAGCTATGATATCAGGTCATATAGGTCAAATGGTATTTGCGCCGAGGAATTGCCCAGATGTAATAGGCTGACTGACGTGATTAATATGATTAAATGTAATAAAAAAAGCTTGGTTTTTTAGTTTTTGAGAATTGTGGTAAATCTAAAAAAACATGATTTCATAAAAGTTTCTATGATGGAACTTTTTATGCCCACATTTAAATATCCATCCAATAAATGAATGAATGAAGAATTAAGTAAAATTTATAAAAAATTTATGAAATCATATGCTTACTTTAGAAAAACAAAAAAAACGTAAAAGATAATTTTCTTTCTTTTTATTCTCAATACTCTATAAAAAATAATATACCTTTGGAACTATGATAGTCTGCACCATGTTACGGTATCTGCCAATTGATGGATCTATATCCTCTAAACAATTATAAATGTGTTAAATCCAACTTAAATTATTTTAATTATATATTTTTTTACCAGGATTTATTATATCTTCCCTATCATAAAAACGCACTGAATGTCTCTTTTCTTTTTTGTTCAATTCTATTAAGGGATTAAGGGCTGACAATGTCGATGATGAATTAAAATGTTTAGCGAATGAATTATTTTTTGTTTCTAAGGCATCTTCTAGCCCCATAGATGTTATCCTCCTATTGTGAGCCGTATTAAATTCTGTTAAATTCTATTAAATATATATATATATATATATATATTTAAATAATTTAAATAATTTTTTTTAACATTTTGGGTCCTTTCCATGTCAAATCACGCAATCTTTCAATTCCAATATAATTTTTTATGAAAATTATATATGTTGCATTTAGAACAGAAATAAAGTTAGAACTATCTTTTATATTAGCTGGGATATTAGGGGGTTAAAAGTGCAAAAACGTAAGATATTTTTAAATCACTCAGATATGGAATATTTAATTTCATTAAAATTTTTTTTATCCAATATCAGTAAAGCATTAATACCCTAGATTTTTACTCATGCCATTGGCTAATGCCAAGACAATATATTATTGTAAAGAAATATTTGTTTAATAAAAATAAAATCTTGTTATATAATGATTTAACATAATAAAGCCAGCTGATGGAATTTTTTTTATAAAGAATAAGGTAAATTGTTAAAATTTCAGCTATCGACACAAGTGTCAGTTTCGATATTAGTCCCTGCAGACCCGTCCAATACAAACCAACTCAGATCAAAGAGAATTGAAGTGATTTTCCTGGACTCAGTCTGATTTTAACCTCCTAAAATTTAATTCGGGCTTGGACAAGATTCGAACCTCGATAAAAATTTAAATTGTTTTTCTAATATAAATATGATTTTCAAGAATATCTATAAAATTGTTTGTTTTTATTTTTCAGTGCTTATAATTTTTCCAATTTCGTTGTTGTATACTACTTCTTATTTTTACCAGCCCAGTAAAAAAAATTGGAATGGATCTATTTCTAAAATAAAAATTTTGGATCGGATCTGGCTTGCATCATTGAAAAATAATTCCTGGATCAGATTAGTTAAGCAAATTTTATTCTTGGATTGAGTCTGACCTGAAAAAAAGGTCTAACATTTTTTCTGAATATAATTGATATTTGTAAATAGAAGTCAGTAATTGATAATTAGGAAAAAACCCCCAATAATCATTAGAAAATTTTTAAATTAATATTTTAAAATGTTAAAGACGGGGGGGGGGGGGGGTAATTTACCTTTACAATCTCAGTGGGTTCAAAAAAATTTTTTTAAATTATTATCAAAATGACCTTTTTTAGCTAACATTAAAAAAAAACCTTTTTCAAGGGGCTGGAGCTCCTGCGCACTCCCTAGTGATGCTATTGGTTAACGACCTCAATTTATTTAAATTTTTTATCGTTTATTAAATATTACCTGCAGAAAACAAATATCTCAAAATTAATTTAAGAAAATAATATGTCTAGGCAAATAATAAGCTTTATTAAATTGTTAAAAATATTTAAAATAATTCAGGGTGGTCATGAATAGTGTTGTTAAATAGTCGAGTTTTTACTACTTGCGACTCAAGTCGTAGTTGTAAAAAACGGCTCCGACTTGCAACATTATTGGAATTCAACCATAGATAATATTGATAAATTCTTGCATACATTTATGACTCCTATTTTAACAAATTTTTCAACCATATATAGCTCTTTAGAAAAGGTATCTAGCAATAATATTTATAATCTGCGCAAGGCATCGATGACTCTTCATAAAGAACAATTTATCATTTATTATTTTAGAGTGCGAAACTTTTATAGATATTTTCAAATATGCTAACAAAAATATAAAGCTAGTTTGTCGACAAACTTCTAAAAAGTATACATCGAATATATTTTTAAGCGCCAAAGATGGTATCATAAAAATTTTAAATTTAGTAATTCTAAGGCGACTAATATGTTCCCATTGTCATGGGTGATGGCAAAAAAAATTTTCTATTTTAAAGTCTTCAATTGAGGATATGATTAGTTCATATATATCCTCACCTTTGGGTCATTCCACGTCAAATAGACCAAAAAAACGCGATTTTCGGACGACCATCTTTAAAATAAACGAAACTTGGCATGATAGTTTTTTATTTTGTATATTTTTGTAAATTCTAAATTTTAGAGTGCTAGCTCAACCAAATCCAAAGATATACGCCTTCAAAGTAGAGAATCGCATAATGCGTGATTTCTTAAATCTTGTTTTTCTTAAAAAATAGTTAAGATAAAATTACAAATAATATATCATTTTATAGCCCTTAAAATTTTACATTGGAAAATATTAAAAAAAAATTAAAAAATTTTAAGTGTTTTTGTATTTCCGGTAAAAATAAAAATTAAACATTCCTGGGAAGGGATATTTTTTTGGTGTTGATACTCTCTAAAAATGTTTATTACCTTTATATTAAACTATTTAATGAAAAATCTCGATAGCCATTTTTGTTTTTTTAAATTTATTAAAATTTTTATTATTTTTATAAATAAAAAAGGATAATATAGATGGCGTTATATTAATTTTAATAATAATATAAGGAATGACGTAACATAGGTGGATTTTTTTCTAAAAAAAAATTAAAAATTCTTGAGAAGATTTTGTTATTGTTTCCAGATTACTTCTATCAACAGACACCCACTGTTTAAAGGATATATGATCTATGTCATTTTGGGCAAATACAACATCTAATTGTTTTTTAATTGAGAATATGCCTGGACAATAGTTACAATCTCCTAAATAACAAATAGGGAGTGCGATTGCATATTGTTTGAGCTAAAATATTTTTATAGTTATGTAATGGATATTCTGGCATAGCTAATAGTTTTGCCAAATTAGCATCTACAAACATAAGCTTAAAATTTTTATTAATTACACAAACACACACACTGTGTGTTCCGCTGGCTCCAGCCAGAATACGATTTTTTGGCGTAAATCTGCAAATTTAGAAAATCCAACTTTAATTATCGGGTACCTCTCTTTAAATCGTTCATATAATTCTTTTAAATTGTTTAAAATTAATCTTTTTTGAGACTGCTCTCTTTTCCCCTTGATTATTATGGATTTATAGTCTTTTTTCCAGGGCATCGCGCGACTGACTTCATCAGAAGAGTAAAATTTTTCCATAATATTCACGGTTTCCTGATCAATTGTTCGCCCAGGTTTTATATTGGGAGATGACATAAATCCTTATTCTATTAGTTTTTTTGATTTTCTTACCAAGTAATTCGTGGCTTTGAACTCCATCTCAATTTTTTTAAAGGTCCAAGAAGGGGGCAATATAATAAGAAGTTGATATTTTTTTTCCTTAGAAATAATTGGATAATGATGTTTTAAATTTTGAAGAAGTTCGTCATTTTTATTATTTTGTATATCAAACTCAGGAAGGCTGCTTCTTAATATGTTTTGACTTAATGCTTTTGTTATTTTTTTAAGTTTTTCTTGCGGATATTTCTTTTCTCCTATTCTTTTCTTTTTTTATTGGGGATTGGCCTATTTCTTCTAGCGATACATTTATTATATCCAAAGTTGAACTGGATGTGGCTAGTTCGGGCTCTTCATTTTCAGATTATCCTCAATGGATTCCATATTTATCAAATATAAGCGACATGAGTGACATAATGATTGGCCTATTGTTAATAAACCTTTGGATTTTTTAATCATCTTTGGTGTAACCTAATTTTATATTTAATAAAAATAAAATATAAAATTAAAAAGGTTTTAATCCATAATATAAATAAACTTACCTTTTGTAGATTTTTTGAAATAGACTTATGGCCTTCTCTAATGAATGGATTACTACACAGTGATTTCATATTATTACAATTTTTTAAATTTAAAAAAAAATTTTAAGTAAAAAAAGATAATCCTTATTCTTTTCAATCATGATTGATAATTAAATATCCTATTTATCCATATAAAGATTTAATAGAAAGAAAGGAATGAAAAATAAAATAAGATGATAAAATCTTTAATTTCAAATAATAACGATAGATCCAGAAGTGTGAAATATATACAAATTACGGCCTCAAGAATTTCTATTTAAGCGCAAAATGGATTGCGATAAATAGATATATTTTTATAATAGCTTGAATATAATTTTAAAGTATCTTTATATGGGCCGCTTCCTCATTTATTGGCCCAGGACATCATACTGGTTATACTTAATCGATTTCTTTTGATTTTAATACCGATATAAAATATATTATTATTAAATATAATATATTATTAATAAATTTAGTATAACGCCATCTATATTATCCTTTTTTATTTACAAAAATAATAAAAATTTTAATAAAATTAAAAAAACAAAAATGGCTATCGAGATTTTTCATTAAATAGTTTAATTAATATAAAGGTAATAAATATTTTTAGAGAGTATCAACACCAAAAAAAAATCCCTTCCCAGGAATGTTAATTTTTTATTTTTACTGGAAATACAAAAACGCTTAAAATTTTTAAACTTTTTTTCAATATTTTCCAATGTAAAATTTTAAGGGCTATAAAGTGATATATTATTTGTAATTCTATCTTAAGTATTTTTTAAGAAAAACAAGATATAAGAAATCACGCATTACGCGATTCTCTACTTTGAAGGCGTATATCTTTGGATCTGGTTGAGCTGGGGCTCTAAAATTTGGATTTTATTATCATTTACAACATAAACTAACATGCCAAGTTTCATTCATTTTTGAGATGGTCGACCGAATCACTGGTCGATTTGTCATGGAATTACCCCTTTGTAAGGGTAAGGAAACTCTAAAATATACAGTAAAAAATTTTTCAGGACCCAAAACTCATCGATAAAATGTACAGTGATTGCACAATATGATAAGGAATTTTGTGACCAAATATCAGTTATTAGAGATACTAGTCCCTTGACATTTTTTAAAATTTTTATGATACAATCTTTGACGCTTAAAAATATATTTGATATATACCTTTTAGAAGTTTGTTGACAACTTTATATTTTTGTTAGCATATTTGGACATACCTATAAAAGTTTTGCTCTCTAAAATATTAAATGATAAATTGTTCTTTATGAATAGTCATCGATGCCTTGCGCATATTATAAACATTATTGTGAAGAAAAGGCTAGATACTTTTTCTAAAGAGCTATATGTGGTTGAAAAATTTGTTAAAGTGGAATAGAAAATTCATAATGTTATCTACTATTAATAAAGTATTATAAT